ATAAACATCATATGATTATCTCAATAGATGCAGAAAAAACATTTGACAAAATTCAACATCCATTTATGATAAAAATTGTAAATGAAGTGGGTATAGAAGGAACTTACCACTTTGATATAGGCTATATATGGTATGCCCACAGCTAACATCATACTCAATGGTGAAAAGCTAAATGCTTTTCCTCTAAGATCAGGAAGAAGACAAGTATGCCCACACTCACCACTATTATTCAACATAGTACTGGAAGTCCTGGCCACAGCAATCAGACAAGGAAAATAAATAAAAGGCATCCAAACTGGAAAGAAAGAAGTAAAACTGTCACTATTTGCAGACGATGATACTATATATAGAAAACCCTAAAGAATCCACTAAAAAATTAATAGAATAAAATAATTCAGTATAAAAGCAAGATACAAAATTAATATACAGAAATTTGTCACATTCCTAAACACTAATAATGAACAATCAGAAAGAGAAATTTTAAAAAATGATCCCATTTACAAGTGCATCAAACAGAATAAAATATTTAGGAATAAATTTAACCAAGGAGGTGAAAGACTTGCACTCTGAAAACTGTAACATTGAAGAAAGAAATTGAACAGGACAAATAAATGGAAGGACATACCATTTTCATGGATTGTTAAAATGACCACATTACTCAAAAAAAATCTGCAGATTCAATGAAATTCCTAGCAAAATACCAATGTCATTCTTCTCAGAACTAGAACAAATAATCCTAAATTTATATGGAACCGCTAAAGACCTCAAATAACCAAAGCAATTTCAAGAAGGAAGAACCAAGTTGGAAGTATCATGCTTCCTGATCTCAAAGTCTACTACAAAGCTTTAATAATCAAAACAGTATGGTACCAGCAAAAAACAGACACATAGATCAATGGAACAGAATAGAGAGCCCAGAAATAAGCCCTAGCTTATATGGTCTACTAATCTGTGACAAAGGAGGTAAAAATATACAATGGACTAATGACAGTCTCTTCAGCAAATGGTGTTGAGAAAACTGGACAAATACATGCAAAATAAAAAGAAACTGGACCACTCTCTTACACCATATAAAAAAATAAACTCAAAATCGGTTAAAAACTTAAATGTAAAACCAGAAACCATAAAACTCTTAGAAGAAAACACAAGCAGTAAACTATTTGACATCAATGTGAATAACATATTTTTGGATACATCCCCTCAAGCAAGGGAAACAAAAGTAAAAATAAACAAATGGGACTTCATTAAACTAAAAAACTTCTGCACAGCAAAGGGAACATTCAACAAAACAAAAAGACTGAATGGGAGAATATATTCATAAATGATATATCCAATAAGGGGGTTGATATCCAAAATATATAGGAAACTCATATAATGTAATAATAAAAAAACAACCTGGGCCGGCCGAGTGGCACGATGGTTAAGAACTGGCTTGGGACGCCAGAGGGCCCCGGTTCGGATCCCACATATAAGGACCAGTGACGCTGCCCTCCGCAGCTAAGATGCTGAACAACAGCTCGACCTGGAGCTGGGCTGCCTTGAGTCGCTGGCGACGGAGTAGGCTGCAGCCCGTGGCAGTGGGTTGCCATGGACTACCGTATGTAGCCAGCAGCCAGTGTGAGTGGCCAGCAGCTGCAGTGAGCGGCCGTCCAGAAGCCGGCGACTGATCTGCCTCACCCGGGAAGAGCGCAATGATGGTGCCAACTTGGGCCAGTGAAGCAATGTCCTCCACAACTAGACTGAAGAACAAAATGACAGCAACTTGTCTGCTCCCCTTCCCCCAATTCCCTAGCACCGTTCCCATCCCCCCAATTCCCCAATAAAAATCTTAAAAAAAAAGCTGTCATAAAGTCTGATCACTCATGTCACTCCCTTGCTCAAACATTATGTAACGGGATGCAGAGATCACCTCAGCAGGTTCTCCTAGGGTTTAGGTTTCCCGCTGTGATAGCGTGCTATGCTGGTGGAGTGGGCCAGCTCTCAGCATCTCATATGTTTGAGTCCCTCTCAATGAGGGAAAGGGTCTTTTAAAAAAAAAACCAAAAAACAACCTGATGGAAAAATGGGCAGAGGACATGAAAAGACATTTCTCCAAAGAAGACATACAGATCACCAACAGACATATGAAAAGATACTCAACATCACTAATCATCAGGGAAATGCAAATCCAAACCACAATGAGATATCACCTCACTCCAGCCAGAATGGTTATTATCAAATAGTCAAGGGCCGGCCAAGTGGCGCATTGGTTAGGAGTTGGCTTGGGACGCCAGCTCTGAGCAGCAGGGCACAGGTTTGGATCCCACATGTGGGCCAGTGACGCTGTGTCCTCTACAGCTAAGATGGTGAACAACAGCTCAACCTGGAGCTGGGCTGCTGTGAGTTGCCGGCGATGGCGTAGGCTTAAGTGGGGCTGGCCAGCAGCTGGCTTGCGCTTTTGTGAGCTGCCATGAGCCGCCGTGGGCAGCCATCCAACGGCCAGAGAGCAACTGCCTCACCCGGAAAGGTGCAATGATAATACCAACATGGGCCAGTGAAGTGACATCCTCTACAACTAGAGTGAAGAATAAAAGGACAGCAACTTGTATGTTCCCTTTCCCGGATTCCCCTATGCTGTTCCCCTCCCCCAATTCCCGAATAAAATCTTAAAAAAAAAAGTCAACACACAACATGTGTTGGCGAGGATGTGGAGAAAAGGGAACGCTTGTGAACTGTTAGTGGGACTCCAAACTGGTGCCACCCCTAAGGAAAACAGTATGGAAGTTCCTCAAAAACTAAAAATAGATATTTCATAAGACCCAGCAATTCCACTTCTGGGTATTTATCCAAAGAAAACAAGAACACTAATTCAAAAAGACATATGCATCCCTATGTTCATTGCAGTATTATTTACAATACCCAAGATATGGGAGCAACCTAGGTGTCCACCAATAAATGAATGGATAAAGAAAAAGTGGTGTATATATACACAATGTAATATTATGCAGTAATAAAAAAGAATGAAATCTTGCTATTTGCGTCAAAATTCATATATCTAGAAAATATTATGCTATGTGAAGTAAATCAGGCAAAGAAAGGCAAATACTGTATGGTTTTGCTTATATGTGGAATCTAAAAAAGCAAAACAAGTGAACAAACAAAACAAAAATAGACTCATAGAAACAGAGACCAAAGGGATGGTTACCAGAAGGGAAGGGGTGAGGGAATATAGTGAATAGTACTGTGATAAGTTTGCATGGTGACCAGTGATTACTAGAATTAGTAGGGTGATCACATTATAAGTTATAAAAATTTTGAATCACTATATTATTTGAATCACTATATTTACACCTGAAACTAATATAACCAATATTGTATACCAACTACATGTAAATAAACAATTTTTAATATCTTTCAAATTGGGGTGATTATTATTATCTTGGGAACATTTCTTATGATCATTTATAAGATTTGTATATGCTGTACTCACACTAAAAGAAAACCAAGGCATGTTCATGCTGTGATCACTACAAATTAGCCCCATTGAGTACAATTAGCCTTTGAATGAAACTGTAGTAAAAATAATTGGTCCTTTCCTAATGCTTTAACCTAAAATTGGCATAAATATTGGCTGGTTATAAGACCCTTAGATGGCAAGTGTGTTTCTAACCGATATCCTCTCTCTGAGGGACACAATGGACCCAGGGAAGGCAATGCCACCCTGACAATGGGGGACTTTAAAACATTTTGCTTGATCTATGATGCTTTCTGAAAGAAAAATCCTGATTAAAGTGGAAAATGAGGAAAAAGTGAAGATGGGTAATATGTAAAATGGAGTCACTTTAACCAAGCTGCTAAAATTATTAATATAATTGAGGCATGAGGAAAGACTATTCTTTAGCCTGGGAACTTAAAATTTTTTTTTAACTTTCTAGTCCTGTGTCAATGCCTGGAAATACATCTGGACCTCCAGATAACTCTCTAATTACACCCTAAGGACTCACTTATCCAGATCACCAGATTATCCCCTGAAGGACACACACATACATCCACCTGACATCAGTTATCTGGACCACTGGATGTGACCAGACCTCTGGTGCCTAGCTTCAGGAACACCTGACATCAAGAACACCTGGCATCCATCATCCTGACTGTAATCTGACTGACAACCATCCTGAACCAATCCTAGAGCTAAGAAGGCAGGGCTGAAAAGTCTTAAGAATGTACTTTTTACTACAATAACTTTTAACTTTTCTGCCTTCTTTGGAACACTTGTAGGTTTTTGCCTAGCTGTGTTTCCAGTTTGCAAAGTCTAAAACCCTTGAATAAATCTCTAACACTTATTTCTAGCAAAGCCTCCAGACTCTTTTTGAGTTTCTTTGACAATGGCAAGACAACTGAGGAAATAAGCATATTGCTATCTAACACATACCACAAAATTGATACCCAATAAAATATAGGTCAAAAAGTAAAAACGGAGATATTTTTTTAAATCCTTTAAGAGTATTAGAAGAAAATAATGGTGTTTTAACATTCTTTTTTTATTAACGTTTATTGGGGTGACAGTGGTTAGTAAAGTTACATAGGTTTCAAGTGTACAATCCTGTAATACATCTTCTATATATCACATTATGTGCTCACCACCCAAAGTCAGTTCTCCTTCCATCACCATTTATTTGATCCCGTTTACCCTCATCTACCACCTCCTCCTCCCTTACCCTCTGGTAACCACTAAACTATTGGCTATGTCTGCATTTTAACATTACCGAGATGGGGAAAAACTTAAAAAAAAGATACCCACCCATGCCTCCACAAAAATAAATTGCAGAAGGTATTAAGAGAAAAACACGTTTATAATCTTATAGGAGGCCTTCCTATCAAAGAAAGGACACAGGATCTCCAAGAAGGCTGAGGGCTTTGCTTGCGGGGATGGGGGTGTGTGAGCCTCCGGTTCCAGCGCAGTGGTGGCCCCGCCCACCCCTCCCAGCACCCACTGCTTGGTCCTTGGAGGGCGTACTTACCAGCCTCACAGCCCCTGACTCTGCCTCCGCCGCCAGTCCAAACCGAATGGGAGAGGGTGAGTGCCCGATGCCTGAGCCAATGATTTCCAGTGACTGGGCCCCCGCGTCTACCAGTGCCCGGCGCCAGGTGGGCTCTGAAGAAAACCCCGCAATGGCGACTGTGCCGCGCTGGCTTTGGATCCCAAAACGCATGCGCCAATGGCGATTTGGGCGGACCGCTTCCCACCTGCCCCGGACCTCCTCCAGCTGCTCCGCTGTCTGCTTTTCACCAGGGCCCGCTAACCCGGGGAAGCTTGGGTCTCCGCCCACGACCCTCAACTAATTTCGGGTTCAGGGAGGTCCCTGGAGAAGGTGGCGAAGACCCTCCCGTATCCCCCGCCAATCAGAAACATTGGACTGCCCGGCTCCTGTGCGGTGTCCCCTCTTCGTCCCCAAGGCAACAACACAAGACAGCGTGCTCCTCAGTCCTGGAATACCGCCCCACTCTGCCCATTTTATATCGACAAATCTCTAAAACTAATAGTGATTGAATAATTTTTTCCCCCAATACACCATGAAGAATAATGAAATCCTTTTAATGGGGATAACATTTTGCTTAATTGGGATTCAAAATTAGTTCTCCATCACCAAAATGGATTGCTAAGGTACATCTGTTACTGCTGGTCTATAATGATCTTACATAATTACATCTTTGAAAACTTTTTCAAGCAGATACTGCCAAATACTGGTATCCATAAGCATATGATTTAAATTGAGCATATTGATTGGAAGACATTTATAGAATTCCAGTATATTCTCTTTTTTTAAATTTTATTTATAAGCATTTATTTATTCATTACTCAGGTACTTAGACTTTTTCTGCGAGTGTTAATGAGTTTGTTTTTCTTAAAAATTAGTTTCAGGTGTGCAACACAGTGCAATAATTATACTTTTTACTCCTTAAAGTGACAACTCCCCTCCCCCAATCTGCTGCCCCACTACCCATCCCAACAGCACCCCCAAAATCATATATATCTATTACAATTCCATTGACTCCACTCCCACACTATACTCCACATCCCGTGACTATATATATATATATATATATATATATGTATATATATATATGTATATATATATTTATTTATTTATTTATTTATTTATAGTTGACATATGATATTATACAACATCAGCTTTAGGAGTACAGTGCAGTGATCAAGCCTCTACTCCATCCATGAAATGGTCTCCCTAACTAGACATGAGACCATGTGACACCCTACAAAATATTTACATTATTAATTATATTCCCCAAATTGTCTTTCATATCCCTGTGGCAATATTGTAGTTACCTATTTATGCTGTCTAATCCCTTCCCCTTCTCCCTCATCCCCACTCCATTCCCAACTAGCAACCATCAGTTTTTCCTCTATATCTATGAGAATATTTCTGTTTACTTTGCTTGTTCATTCAGTTTTTTAGATTCCACATATAAGTGAGATCATATGGTATTTCTCTTTCTCCAACTGACATATTTCACTTAATAGTCTATAGGTCCATCCATATTGTTGCAAATAGTATGATTTGATTCTTTTTTATAGTGGAGTAACACTCCATTGTATAAATGTACCACAGTTTCTTAATCCAGTCATCTACTGATGGGCATTTTAGTTGTTTCCAAGCCTTGGCTATTGTAAATATCACTGCAATAAACATAGGGGTACATATATTTTTTGAATTAGCATCTTGGTTTTCTCTGGATAGATACCCAAGAGTGGATTGCTGGGTCATACGGTAGTTCTATTTCCAGTTTTTTGAGATACCTCCATACTGAGTTCCATAACAGCTGTACCAATCTGCAGTCCCACCAAAAGTGCACCCAGGTTCCCTTTTCTCCACAACGTCACCAGCACTTGTTTGTTGATTTATTGATGATAGCCATTCTGACTGGAGTGAGGTGGTATTTCATTGTGGTTTTTATTTGCATTTCTCTAATATTAGTGAGGTTGAGCATTTTTTCATATGCCTGTTGGCCATCTGTATGTCCTCTTTAGAGAAATGCCTCTTCGTATTCTCTGCTCATTTTTTAATTGGGTTGTTTTTTTGGTGTTGAGTTGAATGAGTGTTTTATAAATTTTGGATACTAACCCCTTATCAGATATATCATTGGCAAATATCTTCTCCCATTCAGTAGGCTTCCTTTTTGTTTTATTGATGATTTCCTTTGCTATGAAAACCTTTTAAGTTTGATGTAATCCCATATGTTTATTTGGTCTTTTATTTCTCTTGCCCTAGGGGATATATCAGTAAAAATATTACTGAGGATAATGTCTGCAAATTTACTCCCTATGTTTTCTTCTAGGAGTTTTATGGTTTCAGGTCTTACATTTAAATCTTTAATCCATTTCGAATTTGTTCTCATACATGGTGTAAGTAGGNTAGGAGTTTTATGGTTTCAGGTCTTACATTTAAATCTTTAATCCATTTCGAATTTGTTCTCATACATGGTGTAAGTAGGTGGTCCATTTTCATTTATTTGCATGTGTCAGTCCAATTTTCCCAGCACCATTTATTAAATAGACTGTCTTTACTCCAATGTAAATTCTTGCTTCCATTGTCATAGATTAAATGACCATATATGGATGGGAAATGACCACATATGGATGGGTTTATTTCTGGGCTCTCTATTCTGTTCCATTACTCTGTGTCTGTTTTTATGCCAGTACCATACTGTTTTGATTACTATAGCCTTGTAGTATGATTTGTTGTCGGATAGCGTGATATCTCTCACTTTGTTCCTACTTTTCAAGATTGCCATGGCTATTCAAGGTCTTTATGGTTCCATATAAATTTTAGGATTATATGTCCTATTTCTGAGAAAAATATACTTTGTAGTTTGATAGGAATTGCATTGAATCTATGTATTGCCTTAGGTAGTACTGACATTTTAACTATACTAATTCTTCCTATCCATGAACATGGTATGTTTTTCCATTTATTTGTATCTTCTTTGATTTCTCTCTTCAGTGTCTTAAATTTTCTGAGTACAGATCTTTTACTTCTTTGGTTAAATTTATTCCTAGATACTTTACTTTTTCTGAAGCAATTGTAAAAAGGATTGATTTCCTGATTTCTTCTTCTGATAGTTTATTATTGGTGTATACAAATGCAACTGATATCTGAATACTAATTTTTTATCTGCTATCTTACTAAATTCAATTATCAGTTGTAACAGTTTTTTAGTGGATTCTTTGGGATTCTCTCTATATAGTATCATGTCATCTGCATATAATGACAATTTTACTTCCTCCTTTCCAATTTGGATGCCTTTTATTTCATTTTCTTGTCTGATTGCTGTGGCTAGAACTTCCAGAACTATGTTGATAAAAGTGGTGAAAGTGGGCAGCCTTGTCTTGTTCCTGATCTTAAGGGGAAAGCTTTTAACCTTTCCCCATTGAGTATGATGTTTGATGTGGGCTTATCATATATGGCCTTTATTATGTTGAGATATGATCCCACTGTTCTTACTTTGCTAAGAGTTTTTATCATAAATGGCTGCTGGATTTTGTCAAATGCTTTTTCTGCATTTATTAATATAGTTATATGATTTTTATTTTTCATTTTGTTAATGTGATGTATTACGTTAATTGATTTGCGAATATTGAACTAACCTTGCATACCAGGAATGAGTCCCACTTGATCGTGGTGTCTGATCTTTTTAATGTGATGCTGAATTCGGTTTGCTAGTATTTTGTTGATGATTTTTGCATCTGTCTTCCTTAGGGATATCAGCCTGTAGTTTTCTTTTTTTTTTTTAAATATCTTTGTTTGATTTTGGGATCAGAGTAATAGTGGTCTCATAAAATGTGCTTGAGAGCCTTCCCTCCTTCTGTATTTTTTGGAATAATCTAATGAGAATAGGTATTAATTCTTTTTTGAATGTTTTGTAAAATTCACCTGTGAAGCCATCTGGTCCAGGACTTTTGTTTGTTGGAAGCTTGTTAATTACTGATTCAATTTCTTTTGTAGTAATCAGCCTGTTCAGAGTTTCTGTTTCTTCTTGGTTCAGACTTGGTAGATTATGTGTTTCTAGAAATTTATCCATTTTATCCAGGTTGTCAAATTTGTTAGCATATAGTTGCTCGTAGTGTTTTCTTACAATTTTCTGTATTTCTGCAGTATCTGTTGTCACTTCTCCTCTTTCATTTCTGATTTAATTAATTTGGGTCCTCGCTCTGTTTTTTTTGGTAAGTCTGACTAAGGGTTTGTCAATTTTGTTTATCTTTTCAAATACCCAGCTCTGGGTTTCATTGATCTTTTGTGTTTTTTGGTCTCTATTTCATTTATTTCTGCCCTGGTCTTTATTATTTCCTTCCTTGTACTCCCTTTGGGCTTGTTTTGCTGTTTTTTTTCCATTTCCTTAGGTAAAGATAGTCTGTTGATGTGAGTTTGTTCTTGTTTATTTAAATAGGCCTGTATTGCTATGAATTTCCCTCTTAGTATGCTTTCACTGCGTCCCATAGATTATGGGTTGCTGTGTTTTCATTTTCGTTTGTCTCGAGATAGCTTTTAATTTCTTCCTTGATCTCATTTTTGAGCCACTTGCTATTTAGTAACATGTTATTCAGCTTCCAGATATTTGTGTGCTTTCCGGATTTCTTCTTATAATTGATTTATAGTTTCATAGCATTGTGGTCGGAGAAGATGCTTGATATGATTTAAATCTTCTTAAATTTATTGAGACTTGTTTTGTGGCCTAACATGTTGTCTATCTTGGAAAGTCTTCCATGTGCGCTGGAGAAGAATGTATATTTTGTTGCTTTGGGGTGAAAAGCACTAAAAATGTCAATTAAATCTAGATGGTCTAAAGTGTCATTTAAGGCCACTGTTTCCATGTTGATTTTCTGTCTGGAGGATCTGTCCATTGGTGACAACAAGGTGTTGAAGTCCCTACTATGATAGTGTTACTATTGATCTCTGTTTTAATGTCTGTCAAAATCTGTTTTATATATTTAGGGGCTCCTATGTTGCGTGTATAGATGTTTACTAAGGTTATGTCCTCTTGTTGAATCGATCCCCTTATTATTATGTAGTGCCCTTCTTTCTTTTTTATTGTGGTCTTTATATTAAAGTCTATTTTGTCTGAAATAAATATTGCTACTCCAGTTTTTCTCTCATTTCTATTTGCATGAAATATCGTATTCCATCCCTTTACTTTCATTCTGTGTGTGTCTTTTGATCTGAGATGAGTCTCTTGTAAATGGCATATACATGGGTCCTGTTTTCTTATCCACTCAGCCACTCTATGTCTTTAGA